GGTCTCTTTTTGCGAGAAGGCACCTTTGCAGGTGGAGGTCCTTGACCCCGCAGACTAATTGATCGAGGAGCATGTCCTCCAGGTAGGTTCCAAACCCACAATGCAGTGCTGCTGTTCTGAGGGCGGCCATATACTGATTGATGGTCTCCTTGTCCGATTGCTTCCTCATACGGAAGGTGAATCTCCTGGCAATCTGTGAGGGCCTGGGAGAATAGTGGTTAGTGAGGATTTCAAGTAACTCAGACCACGGAACGTTTTTCAACTCACGAGGGGCCACGAGGGCCGTGGCAGTATCGAAAACGGTGGCTCCACAGTAGATCAGGAAATACGATTTTTTCCAATGCTCTCCCGCATCCGCCAGGCCGATTGCATCGATATAATGATTAAAGCGGTTCTTATATGATTCCCACTTCTCCTCATCTGGTTTGAACACTGGGAAGACTGGATTGGAATTCATGGTGCTGGGACCGGTAGAACTACCTGTGGAAAAAATCTCTCTGGGGCAGCAGACAATGTTTTAGTGCCTGTGGCAGGCAAGTGATTTCAGCTCCGGAGAGGCTTTTTGCAGTCCTCTCTTTCTCTCTGGGTTAACCATGTTTGGCTGTTAGCCGTTGGCGGCGTTTGGATTCGCGCCTGTGTGGGTGTCAGTGACTTGACTACAGCGCTGTGCTGTACCTTTAGGTTTGAAATTCAAATGGCAGCCGTTTGAATTTCGCGCCTAATACTGAGCGGCTGCGGCTCGCAGCACTTCACTTTCCCTGTAGCTGGGCTAACAAGCGGCTACAGATGCTTCTAACTATCGATTCTGACTGCTCTCTCTGGCTGCGGATCAGTGTTCGCTACTAATCGCTTGCTGGCCGCTTTCTCTGTCAGCGGATCAGCGTTTGCTCTTTTTGTTTGCTCTTTTTGTTTGCTGACCGCTCTCTCTGGCATGCGGATCAGCGTTGCTCTTATCGCCGGCCGATCGCTCTCTCTGGCTGCGGATCGGCGGCTAGTGACTCAGCGGTTGCATGGTGCTTCTGGTAGCCATCCCATCCTCGTCGCCAGTGTTAAGTTTGGGAAAAGAGAGGCTGAACCAGAGCATGAGTGCAACAATACTTTATTATACAATAAAGGGCTGATCGTGCTTGCCATGCCTGGAAACTGGCTCGCAGCAATCAGCAACTGGTTGGACCCCGCAGCCTGCTTTTATAGCTGGCTGCTGGGGAGAACCAACCAATGAGGGAGGGGAAGAACGCCCACGCAAGGTGAATGGACCTGAGTGAGAACTCCTAGAATTCTCAGGACATAACAATGTTGTTCTAGCATTATGAATTTTCAGTAGTTTCACAGAGAAGACAGAACATAGAATAATAGAGTTGGAAGGGACCTTGGAGGTCGTTTAGTCCAACCCCCTGCTCGAGCAAGAGACCTTATACCATTTCAGATAAATGGTTGTCCGGTCTCTTTTTGAAAGCCTCCAGTGAACACCCACAATTTCCAAAGGCAAGCTATTCTGTTGGTTGATTGCTTTCACTACTAGGAAATTTCTCCTTAGGTCTAGATTGTTTGTCTCCTTGGTTAATTTCTGTCCACTGTTTCTTGTCTTGTCTTTTGGTGCTTTGGAAAATAGTTCGATTCCTTCATCTTTGTAGGGTCTCCTCAAATATTGGAAGACTGCTATCCTGTCTCCCCTAGTCCTTCTTTTCATTAGACTAGACATACCCAATTCCTGTAACAGTTCTTATGTGTTAGCCTCCAGCTCCCTAATCATTTCTTCTCAGCATTCTTTCTAGAGTCTCAGAGAAGCCTCTTCTCTGAGAGAAGCCTCTTCTCTGAGATATTGAACAATAGCGATAATAAAGGGAAAACGTGCAAATCCATACAGAATAACAATCAAGTGAGAATATCCCAGCATCACTTTCTGAAGATTGCCACCTAGCTGAGAGAAGTATCACAAACTAATTGTTTTGTTTGCACCTAATTTGGATAACTTCTCCAGAAACTACTATTATTGATAGTTTTGAAAACTGCTAAGACATTCAGAAGAGTGAATAAGTTTATAGTCCCCTATTTCTTTCCTGGCAATGTCATCCAACAAAGTGACCAAGACAATGTCAGTGCAAATACCAGTCCTAGAACCTAAATGAAATGCATCCAGGAAATCTGTTTCCATCTGATTAGCCATTGCACACTTGCCCAGGAGAGGAATGTTAACTTTTGATGTAAAATTAATTAGATCTTCTAGATCCAATGATTTTTTTCCTCAGAAAAGGACTCATTAGAGCATGGTATCAAACTCGCGGCGTCACGTTGTTATCACGTGAAGTTTCATGATGTTTTTCCCTTTCGTGGAGCTGAGTGGGTGTGGCCTGTGCATGATGCATCCAGCCCATGGGCCTCCAGTTTGACACCCCTCTTAGAACATCCTTTAATAAATATAGAACTATTAATGTATAATGCATAGTTTCCTGGATCCAACTGAACACCCTTTTTGGCTAGATGTAATAAGCAGTGGTGGAAATAACTGAACACCTTATTCAATCAACAGGCTTAAACCTAAGTATTAAGTTACCACCTTTTTTGATATCTTTGTACCCAATCCAATATCCAATAGGCCCTATGTCACTGTAAAACTAGACTCCAGAGCCTCCTGACATAATGCTACTTAATGTCAGTGGCCAAAAAAATGGAAGCATTTTTCCCATTCTCTTTAGAAACAGAGGGGTCTTTTTTAGATCAACAGCCATAAAGAACAACAACAAGAAGTCATATGTTAACCCATGACTAGGGCCAGCACATACTTTCATGGCAGATTTATCGTGAGATTTATCAGCCAAAATAATAATAAAGGCAGCTTCCCTTGCACTCATTTTATAATTGTTCTCTATCCCATACAGTGAAGGCTATAGTAAAATTAAGAAATGTGGGAAACAGAAGTCTTGATATTGTATTAAACAAATACTATGAAATAATCCAGTACAGAAATTAATGGAAAATTCCGTGTTTGCCTGTAACTTTTAAAACTAATTACAGATATTCTTTGCATCTTTCTAAATATCTTAATAGTTCATATTTAAGTAAATATATAGTAGCCTTTTTGAAAGTCAAATTAAATGTATTGCTATCAAATATGCTCTATGGTAGATTTTTTTTTAAAAAAATCCCCATTTCTAAAAGATTTTGTCCCTGTAATGGTATTGATCTAGAAACAATAGGATATATTTTATTATATTGTATATTATAATGTATTATATTATAAATCTTCATCAAGATGTTATTGGGCCTTCAGTATTTTAAAATCAAATCCAGGAGAGATACTTCAGAATACATTCAGATTTGATCTACAGATGATAATCCTGAAATTTCAGATGCAACAGCCATATTTTTAACAATGGCTATAAAAGCAAGATTTTTTTTTTTTTGTAGCACATCAATAATTTGAGGTTTTGAGTGTTTCATGTAACATATGTAAAATATGTTATTTTTAAACTTTTATTTAATGCCAAATTTTAGATTATATTTTTAGTTAGATATTTGGGCCTTTTTTGATCATAAATAAATAATCCCTGAATTATACCATCTGAAGAAGAACCTTGTATCAACAGGTACATTCTGGCAACTGATTAGTTAAACAGTCCTAAATCATAGGAATTGCATTTTGAGAAAATTGATACTTAATTGATCCTTAATTGTTTAAGAAAAAGTATCAATGGAACTAATGTGTGTGAATAATTTTGCTACTCATCTAGTCCTAATTGATAAGCCACCTCAGTAATCATTTATTTCTGTTTGCTCTAACCCTAAGGATAATATCATGACATTAGTTTTATTCTTGGAGATCAGTGGAGAGAGATATTTTATATCCCTCTGTGTCTTTGTTTTACCTCCAAAGATGCTAATTGGGGAGATAATTTCCATCCACAATTGTGAGTGCTTGAAATATTGTCCTGCTGTTATTATCCTAATACAGCAGGCTCCAGAATTCAGATTTATCTTATTTTCAAGCAAGAGATAACCTTACTTTTCTAAAATTTGGCTTATTTGAAATTGCTTAGACTTGTGTAGCAATTTAGAAAATTCCTTCTTTTTTCTCCAACATGGTTGATCAAACTAATTTAATTGCTACGCATCTTTTTCTTTATATAACTATAAAAAGTGAAATAAACTCCAATTTCCTGAAGTATTGATGCACAACTGTTAGTTTAAAACTAAAGGTGAGAGATTTCAAACATCTCTCCTGTTGTAAATTGAGTACATTATATTCTTATAACAGAAAAATCTTGTAATATCTTTTGTCTGCTTCAGCTGAACTAGAATAAATTGCATGTGTGAAACTCCCACAGAATCTAAAAACAGTTTATGGGGAAGCAGGAATATTTTTCTTACATTTTTACAATATGAAAAGATTATAAAGTCAAATCAACTTTTAATGTCAGAGTACAAGATATGTACAATGAGATTGGCTGAGACAGTAATGCTGGTTCCTGCCAATATAAACAAATGAATATACCACATAGCAAAACCCACATAAAGGAAGACTTATATCTTATGTACAGAAAAACATGTATATAGGAAAGACAAAATGTCCATTGTTTTAGCTCTACATGAAGAGGCATCTGTTTCAGAATAAATAAGGAAGTTTCCTGTAACTCCAAGATAAGGAAACTTCTATTTTAGCAGACTATGAAAAGAAGGAAGGATTGCATAGGAGGAAGAATTTATGATGATAGAGCATTTGCAACTTTTGATTGAATAAATATATTTCTTTTAACTCTCCACTGATCATATGGTGATTTTAATTAAATTCTCGGCTTGGAAATGAATAGAGAAAAAAAAATAAAGGTTTGATCCTTCTGACAATGAGATAAAATCTTTTAACGATATCTCTGTACAAGAGCCTCAGTATTATGTCTCACAGAACAACATTCTTTCTTTGTTGCACAATACACCATAAACAGTTGCAGGTTTGTTCCTCTTGCTCAGACTTATCCTCTACCACAACTACAATGTGTAACTTCACATATATAATTGAAGAAATTTTCAGAAAGTTTCTCTAATACAGTCCTCTTATGCAACTTCCAATGTTGAGAAAAGGTGGTGGCATTAGGTTTACATATTTGCTGTTCCCCTGACCTTTCAAAACACTTTGATTGTAGCAACAGCAAATTTACTCATGTTATTTGAGCTTCAGACTCCTTTACATGCAGAGTATATGTGGAATATTCCATACACCATAGAGGGTACTTAAAATGCTTAGAATACAGCAGGCATGCTAGGTATGTGAGAAGAGAGTTTCGATTCAAACTTCTTTTGCTTATGAATTGCTTAGAGCTAAGTTCAGGAGTGGCATTTAGTGGTCAGAATGCTGCTAGGTTAGTCATACAAAAAGGAAAGTCAGACAGAAAATAAAAATTGAAAGTTCCTCTGGGAATTAAAACTAAGAAAGTAGAAGAATTACTACTATTATTTACACCGTGATTCTCCTTATAGCAATGACCCACCATAACATCCAAAACAGGGTGTTGCATATTTGATGTGATGGAATATGTCGTTCATGAGATGCCCTAAAATGAGATGAAATGAGTTGTTTTCCATAGCCTAATTGGAAGATTAGTTACGTGAGTATCATAGTTTGCAGAATGGCATGGCTATTTTTCTTCTGCACTTCTGGAAGTTTCGAAAGATTTGAATGAAATAAAGTTGGTATCTATCGACTTATTCTTTTCATCTGTTATTCAGAAATTTTTGATTTTTTGAATTGGTGCTGGAGCTGGTAAAACTCAGAATACTAGATTATGCTTTAATTCAGTTAAGATGGAGGAGATTCCTGTTGGAAAGAGAAAGGATTCTGAATTTGGGACTGAACATGTTTTAGGTAAGGACCAGGCTTCAGTCCTGCATAGGGGTAGCTAAGTCCAGGTTCTATTGGTATATTTGCTATGTCCATTCTTGAACAAAATAGCCTTGACTAGGGCAATACCTGTTATATACCTGCTGAATAATCACAATACTCTTTATTTGGGGCTACCTAAAAAGTACTTTTGGAAATTTCAACTGTTCAGAATGTTGTAACAGAATGTATATGCTTGGTTATGGGATCATGCTACATCTATCTGAAATATTTCACTGATTGTTTTTTATTTCCTAGAACATTTCATGTATCAGTAATAACTTTCAGACCTCTAAATTGCTTGTGTTCAGGATATATAATCTGTTGTCTCATTCCATGGTTGCTCATCAAGAACGAGTAGGAAGTCTTTTACTTGTGTTTCTTTCTATAACAACTTTCTCTGTTGTAGAGACATCTAGTCATTCATCTCTTTTTGAAGGAGCTTCTGCACCTCCTTATGAACTGATGAACAATGGATCTATACATAAAAAACAAGGTTCAGGAAAGAATGGTAAGTAAATTTTTTACACATACTTGACTCACCCCTTAAATCAACTCTACTATTATTCTTTTTATTCTTTTCTTCTTCCTTTTTTAACAACAACAACAATTGTTCTATTTCTATTTGTAGGTCTTTGTATTTTGAAAGAATAGGAGAAGATAACAAAATATGATATTGTGGCCTCTTCCTTGTAGCTATGAATTAGGGAGGTTTGTGCCTGTGCAACCAGTATCTTCTGGACTTAAAATATGTTTCAGCCCCATTTTGCCTGAATAATGATCTCTGCATATTTCTATCATAGTTAGCTTCCCGGCTGCCTATAATTCTAGGATTGTCAATCATCATACCATTGCTATTAGCTACAATTGCTTCAGTATATCTGGAGGATAAACACACATAACCTATTTTTGCAAGATTCAATTCCTGCAGTGGCTTAAACCATTTATATTATCTTGGAATGGATGTAAAAGAAAAGAAGAAAATTTCCTGTGTTACTTATTATTATTTTACTTCTTCTTGCATTGCAGGAAACAATTCTGTGTCTGGTTTACTTGATCAACAGCCATCTCAACATCTAAGTGATTCAAAGTATGATATTATTAGACTAACTTTGTTCTGCTGTTTTACTCAGGATGACTAACCATAGTAGTATTGATAAGAACACTGAAAAATATCTTGAACTTATTCCTACACATGTCTCCTCTTTACATGCATGGTTCCAAGAAACCAGATACAATGTTTATTCCAATCCCTCTGATCTCATTATTTCAAAATGCATCATATGCCAACGGAATTCTTTCCTTCATTGTTTTTTTAGTTCATTGATTACCTGCAGTAAAGTGTGTATATGTGTGTGTGTGTGTCTACGACACAAAGTAGTTACATGTCTCTTCAGCCTTGTTTTGCTGTTATCTATCCTTGTTCAGTGTTTATATACTTTTCTTTTAAGGCCTAAAATTAATCAAACCAATTAAAACCCCATTTCCTTAATTTCTCATAGTAGTGCTGGAAGAGATGCTTCATAATAGTACTCAACCACTTCAACCACTCCTTGGCCTAGAACTCATCTATACAGCTTGGTTTTCCACTCCATGTTGTCATCAGGGGTGGGATTCTCCTGGTGTAAAACCTGGTTCTGTAATTGTGTGCTTTGTGCGCTGTGTGTGCGTGCACAGCTATTGCAATTACTTACCTTCAATGTTACTTCAGGGAAGTAAGCAACACAGCTGAGGCACGGCAATCTGCTCTGCTGGGTGAATCAGCTGAGTAGATATAGGTGAGTACACCGCAGGAGCAGGTGGGTGGGCCCACATGATCGTTGGATTGAACCGGTTTGGATCACTGTAGCTAGGTGTTCACACGAACTGGTCCGAACCAGGAGAATCCCATCCCTGGTTGTCATGCCATCAGCATGGAGACAATCTCTTCACTTCAACTGTGTTACCAAGACTATGCACTGATTTTTTCATGATAGAATGAATGTAACAGAATCACCTGAACTGCCTTGAAAGAAAAATAATGATCCATTGAACCATTTTCAATATGTCCAGAAAAAATCCTCTTTGCATTTGGAATCCAGTGTTGTCCAACCTGGGATAGGTGTTCTGCATTGAATATAACATACATATCAAACCACTTCCCCTAAATCCCCAACCTAGAAGGTCTTGGGTATATGTCACTCTGTTCACAACACCAGAGATTCTCCTTTTTTTGGTAATTATATGTCAGAACAAATAAGTGCCTAGAAAATGGTAACCATTCTAGATTTTCTATATTGATCCCTTTATTGATCCTTCTTTATTTGCTACTATTTGCTATATCTAGCTTTGATACCAATTAAGCTTAAAAAAAAAAAGAAACTTTATATTTGGTTTTCCCTAGCTAACAGAATCTTCATCTTAAACCCCTGTAGTTAATTCCAGTGCTCCTTTTAATTTTATTTTAAAAAAAGCCCACAGGACTTGATTTTAATTCTGAAGTTAATGTTATTAACTAGCTGGAGCTCTGTCCCTTACAGTCTCTTTTTGTAAGTCCCCTACAAATGAGGATACTTTTATACATGTTAGGCAAAGCTTATATAGAAAGGATTATCCTTTGAGTAATAGAATATGTGAAATCTATTGGACAAATGTAGTCCCAATTATGGGCAATTCAGAAGCATCTCAACACTGATCTCACCAAACACGATGCCCACATATGTACACACACACACACACACACACACACACACACACCATTTCTGAACTGCCTATCTCCCTCAAAGAGGGAGATAAAGTAAAATAAAATTTACCTAAGTTGTAAGTATACCAGATATCCTAGGCATTTATGCAGGATGTATAGGGTATAAATGTTTATATTGCATTCCTTTAAATTTTGTTTTCATTAAAGCACCTGTAATTTTGTTGCTTTGAAAGAAAAGTAAGTACTGTAAGGAGATTCAAGAGCCTCCACAACTGGGGCACCTATACTAAAAGACTGGGTGACGAGGATTTGTTAAGAGAAATATTATTCTTTTTATTATTCTAAAGAAACAATGGTATTATTTCCTGAATAAGAGGGCAAGCATCTTATTTCTGAAACTAAGATGCCCGACCTCTTAGTTTTCAACTAAGAGTTGAAAAGAGTCTGGTCTCAATAAAGGAGAATATTTGTAGCTCAGGTTGAAATGCAGAGTCCTTGGTGTTCTCTGAGTTTGGTTGTTTTCTTGCAGATATTTCCTTACCCAAACTAGGTAACATCATCAGTGGTAGGCTGATAACATTACCTCATTTGGGTAATGAAAACATCTGCAAGAAAGCAACCAAGTTTCAGAGAACTCCAAGGACCCTTCACAGTTTAGTCTAGTCTACTTAGTTTAGAAGATGGAAGCACTGTAAGCAGGCATCCTAAAATTATTTTAATGAACAGTGGATTAGTGTGGATTACAGGAATTACTTCTTCATATACTATGAACCTGGCTGCTGACTACACATACCATAGAGTAAACCCAATTGTTCTTTCAATACAATTCCATCCAGTTCACAGGAAATATATTGAGGACAATAGTAATGTTTGGAGAATAGTAGTTATGGCTTCATTATATAAAATAACACATCAAGCTATAAAGTTTTATAATAATTATTTCAAACCCAAATGAAGTAATGTATTGTCTATTTTTTTCCTCAGTGCCCTCCTCACTTCTGAACAAGAGATTAAAGATGCATTTCGCCAGTACGCAGCAACGAAGTTTTGCTATAGGACTGCCCCTGCAAAGCATTTAAAAGTCCAGAAGCTAACTCCTCTCAACACATTCAGAGTATGTACCATAGTTGTATCTAGAGAACCTGACATTACATGAGAACTGAACTGTGGAAAGTCTGGCCTGAGCTTTAGCAAAGCGGCTCTTAGGCTGTCTTCAGTAAAGGTGCTAAATATCAAGATTCCCTAACATCACTTCTTGTTATAATTATTAGCACTTGTGAAATATTATTCAAAAATATAAGTACACCTTCAGCTGAGAACCAATACTGAACTTTAGAGAGAAGGATCAGCATCAAAAATCTGTTTATCCTTTAGGAAGTTTTCATCTTAGCAATGAACATTTGGGGTAACTGTGTGTAAGATTTTACCATGCACATGTATACAAGTCTGCTAGTGTTATTAATTTCCAATTAAGTAAATATTTTAAGAAGGTTTTATGTAAAAAAGAGAGTGACCAGGACTGAGAAGCCTAAACATCTATTCTGGAATTTTCCCATCTTAATACTAAACAAGTGTGCATATAAATATAGATAATATAGGTGTAAATATAGATATTGCAATGATATACCAAAGAGGAAAAAATGAGAGACATGTTCAAGTACAAAACAATATGTGCACATAAAAAAGAATAAACATAATGATAAAAAATAAAATATGATTTGAAATGGATATATAATAGCAACTCAGTTGTCCATAATGAAAATGTATATCAAGAATCAATTTACAGGCAGAGAATGGATAAAGATATGTCATCAATTTTGTTGTATTCCATGATCAATACATTTCAAGGTTTTGATAAAACAATAAATTCCATGTTTTCAAAATTGTGTGAACATCTTTAAATGCTATATAATGCCTCTTCCCCAAATCACATTGAAAACATTTTGAGGCAACTATAGAACAGACCCAAATTATATGCCCTCATTTACTTGGAAGCATTTACCTGGAAGCATCCTGGCAGGACCACCTGAATTCAAATGCATATTTTCATACATTTGTTTGGCTACAGTGCAAATCCAGAGACAGATGCATTTCTTTAAGGAGGGTCTAAGAAGTGTGGTACCATTGGGCTTTGGAATTCAATATGTACATATTCCTGTAATCAACTTGTCATGGTATCCTCTAGATTAGGGGTATCCCACCTTGGCAACTTTAAGACTTGTGGAGTTCAACTTCCAGAATTCCCCAGGCAGCCATTGGATTCTGGGAGTTCTAGTTCACAATTTTAAAGTTGCCAGGGTTGAACATCCCTGCTTTACATTATATATTCCTTGAAAGGTCTCATCCAAGGGCATCTATTGATTTAAGAATCCAAAATCAATATCTGTAAACAAGTTGACCTCAAACTTCTAACAATTTAATTGTGCAGGAAAAGTTATTTCATGGTGAATGAAAGTAGTTTACACTTACTGGAATAATTAAAAACAAAGTAGCAATAGCTTCATTTCAAATCATTGGGGATGGGTTTTAGAAGTTGGCTGAGATTTCCACACCAGAAGCCAATTTGCTTTCCAAGGATGGCCATTTCTCTTCAAAGAATTAAGACTTCTGTTTCAAGTTAATGAATTATTTGCTGTTTTCTGTTCTCAGTATCGGTTAGAGACTTTCACTGAAAGTAGAGACACACACTTGGCTAGTGAATGCTATTATGGTGAGTAATGGGGGAATGAGGGGAAATTTCCAGAATGATCCCTTTGCAAGAGATCACCACTTTGAACTTTTCAAGATACTAATCCAAATAGTCATACTATTGGTTACACTCTAATATTTACATTTAATGGAACCAGGGCAAAGCACAGGTAGTCCTCAACTTACAATCATTTGTTTAGTGACCCTTCAAAGTTACATTGGTTTTGAAAAAAGTCATTTATGATGGTTTTTTACATGACCATTGCAGCATCTCTGTGGTCACATGATCAAATTTTGGATGCTTGCCAACTGGCATGTATGGTTACAGTGTTCTGGGGTAATTTGATAACTTTTTGCAAATTTCTAACAAGAAAAGTCAATGGGGAAGCCAAATTCACTTAACAACTGTATTACTAAGTTAACAACAACAGAGATTCATTTAACAATTGTGGCAAGAAAGGTTGTAAAATGCGGCAAAGTTCACTTAACAATTGCCTCACTTAGCAATAGATTGTTGCTCAGTTTTGGTGCTCAGTTTTGGTTATAAGTCAAGGACTACCTTTAGTAGACGAGCCCAAAACATTCTCTCTATCTCTGTCTGTCTGTTTGTCTGTCTGTCTGTCTGTCTCTCTCTCTCTCTCTCTGCCTCTCTCTCTGTCTCTCTCTGCATGTAAAAAATTAGTAGGATTATTCATTGTGCATTAATATTTTCTCCCATCATATTAAAATTTATTTTTTAGAAAGGGCTTCTGACATCAAGCTAAGGCTTCGAGGCACTCCAGTTGGTACAGGCTGAGTTAAAAAGTTGGACTGGAATTAGAGCAAGCCTGTTTCAACTATCAAGGTCACAGGCCGACTTTCTTTTCATACCCAACTTAATTGAAGAATTGACTTATTTATCGTGAAGAGGTCTTGAGGGTGAAAAATAGAAAAAGAAAAATGCAGTTTAGGAAAACTGCCACAGTTTTTAGGCATTTTCCAACTGACAAACAATATACAATTTTACTTTCATTTCTATCAGCAGAGGTGTTAGTTTCTGAGTAATTACAGACATGTACATACTTTAAAGGAGAATATTTGCAGCTCAGGGTTCAAAAGGAAGGGTCCTTAGTGGCCTCTGAGCTTGGTTATTTTCAGTGCTAGTCCTTATAATCAGGGGGTGGGATCTGACAGGTGTAACTACCGGTTCGGTAATTTTACATCATACCCCAAATATCCTGAAGTTGTTGAAGGGATCCTGGGAACATTTACTTTATTTATGTTTATATATCAAGTTTAGAGACTGCTCATCTCCCTCATAGAGTGACTCTGGACCAGTGGTTCCCAAAGTGGGTGGTACCGCCCCCTGGGGGTGGTGGGATGCCTTAGGGGGGGCGGTAAGAGGCAAGGGGGCCGGCAGGGGGTGCTAAGAGGTGGCAGGGGGTGGTGGAGGTGGGCTTCTCGCAGGGCACAATTCAGGGGTGAGATTTTACCAGTTTGCAAGAACTGTTGTTTCCGTTCCACTAGGTTGAAGAACCGGCCAAAAGGGCCTCTGGCCAGCCCTGCCCCCTCCTCCATTTTCTGCTGTCAGTCCTTATTGTGCATGCATGACATTGCGCACATGCGCAACAATCGCTGACAGCATTTCCTGCCCACCCTGCCCAGGCACTCTTTATGTAGTGCATGTGTGCTCCTTTTCCATTTTCCCACCTGCCATTGCTACCAGCACCAGCCAACCAGCCTGCCCGCCCTGCCTTCCTACCACCATCTAATCTAGGTGAGTTACACTCTGTAAGCCCACTCCAGCTTTCCTCCACTTTCCCGACATGCCTGCCTTGAATGCAGTGGTAGCGGGAGTGGAGGAAAGCCAGAGCGGGTTTGCTCTCCTTTTCAAATGTCTCGCTGCTGCTGCGTTCAAAGCAAGGCCCCGCAGGTGCCATTGAGCCCCTTGCATTGGAATGGGGTGCCATTGAGCCCCTTGCATTGGAATGTGCAACAGTCAATTGGATGAACCTGCAGGGCCTCTCCTCGAATGCAAAGGCAGCAGGATGTTTGAAACGGAGAGCAAAGCCACTTCGGCTTTCCTCTGCTTTTCCGACGTACCTTCTGGATTTTCTCCACTTTCCCGACATGCCTGCCTTGAACACAGCAGCGGCGGGATGTTTGAAAAGGGGAGGAAAGCCAGAGTGGCTTTGCTCTCCTTTTTAAACATCCCACCACAGCTGCGTTTGAAGCGAGGCCCCACAGGCTCACCTCATTAAACCTCTTGCATTGGAGCGTGCAGCAGTCAATGGGGTGAACATGAGAGAGGGAAAGAGGGAGAGAAAGAAAAGAAAGAGAAAAGAGACAGAAAGAAAATGGGACAGACAAAGAAAGAGGGTGGGGAATGGAAGGAAGGGACAGAAAAAAAAAAAGAAATAAAGAGGAGGGAGGGAGGGAGGGAGGGAGGAAAAAGTGAATGAGATATCGAGTCCAACCAGCTGGGTTAGAAGGGTGTGTGTGTGTGTGTGTGTGTGTGTGTGTGTGTGTGTGTGTGTCTGTGTGCGCATGGCTATCAAAACTCCAAAAGCAGGCCAAGTAGTTCTGGGAAGGCCAGTCATAAACTAGAACACTTGCTAAGCAACCTGCCATTAAGTGAGGACCACTTGTATTTGGTTTGCCAGTCACCAAACCATGCCCACCTAGTCACGTGACCAGCAAGCCACGCTCACCCAGTCATGTGACCAGCAGGCCACGCCTACCCAGTCCACGCCCTCAAATTAGGCCACGTCCACAGAAATTTGAATCCCGTCCCTGGTGGGGGGCACTGAGGATGAGTTTGTAGCACTAAGGGGGCGGTGGACTGAAAAAGTTTGGGAACCACTGCTCTGGACAGTGTTTTTTTAAAATGTGTTTTTAAAAATTACTACATTACTCATACATGGTACATTGTTCAATGTTTCTTTTAAAAATATCTGTACTGCTTAATGGAACACTATTAAAAGAGTATATATCATCAGTTGTAGCTATGTCTACTTTGAGGCCAAGATACATAAAGGAATGCAATTCACAATCATGCTGTATTGTCATTTAGTTTCTGATTGACTGTGTGTCTTCCAGGTGGATTTGTGGACTCGGCTGATGTTGCATCCCCGCCCACCCCCTGGGAAATCTCCGTGGATCCACCTCCCTTGTTTACAGACTGTGAAATGCATATCCCAATGCCCCACTCATACTCCCTGGGGGTAAAACGAATATTTCTTACTCTTCTTAGAGTTACAGGTTTATGCTGTTTTTCTAGTGTGTTCAATAAGGCAACCATGTCAGATTTGTGAATACATCGTCCATCAGAACAATGTTTTTTTTCAAACATGGCAACTTAAATCTAACTAGTAGTAAATCCTAGTAAATTCCGAGTAAAGTAAGCAGCTACAAGTTCTAAATGTTAACTTTTGAACTCTTGTACAAATTGTAAAATGAATCATATGAACCATATCACATTTCATTGCTATTAATAGCCTTGAGGGATTCAATTAGTATGTAATGCCTGGGATTTTAAGTAGAAATTGTGATTTTTTCCGTAGGAAAATTAATACTCAGTTCAAGGGACAATTGCTTTCTGCAATCATTTTGGGAGATTTTTTTACATTTGTAGAGATATCCACAAGACTCCCATAGAGCATTTGATATTTGGAAATACATAGTTTGGAGGAAGCCTAAGGCATGATAAAATGGATTAACCATATGGATGTCAAAGGAAAAAAATATGGAAAGGAATCTGTTGTCTTCTTGATGAGGTCTATTGTTATTTTAAGAAAAATTATAAAAATTGATTCTTGGGCATATTAATTCTCAAGTCAAGTAGGATTATCCTGTCAACAGAGTCTTTATAATGATTTCCTTACATATCTTTTGCTTTGCTTTCAGAATTGTCAGAACTGCAAAGGGCATGGTGCAACTACATGCCAATCATGTAAAGGAAAAGGCACAGTAAGTCAGCACAAGAAACATTACAATATTCCTGTCAGGTATCAGTGCTTCCTTTTGTGCAGAAATTGTGAGTAGAAGGAATACATGTGTCAGGTTTCCAAGTGATGCAAGGTACTCCATGCAATCTATATATACAGTATATAGGTGGCAGCCAGGATCAATGCAGCGTGGGGCAAATGGAAGTCCGTCACGGGCGTCCTCTGTGACAAGAAGATGCCGATGCGCCTGAAGGCGAAAATCTATAACTCTGTGGTGCGCCCCGTGGCCATATACGGCGCAGAGTGCTGGCCGACGACCAAAGAAGTCGAAAGCAGACTCCAGATAATGGAGATGCGAATGCTCCGATGGTCGGTAGGCCTCACCCTACTCGATCGCGTCAGGAACGAAGAAGTGCGTAGACGGTTCAACGTCGTGCCCATCCCCACGGTCATGAGGCAGTCCCGGCTACGATGGTTCGGCCACGTGAGCCGCGCCAAGGAAGAATCCATCATCAAATCTGTAATGAAGATGACTGTCGGAGGAGCGAGACCGCGTGGTAGACCTAAACAACGCTGGATGGACACGATCAAGGCTGATCTAGAGATCGCGAAGGCAGACCCGACACACGTGGCAGACAGAGAGGCGTGGAAGCAGTACTCAAGGACATTGGCGGACCTAGCCCGAGCGCGAGACAAACGCTGAAGAAAAAGAAGAAGAAGAAGAAGAATATCTGATTAACAAACATTTTGGATAATTTCCTTGCTGATAGTAGGCCTGGATATGCAACAGAATGAGCTTGTTTGGAAAATAAATCCACAACTGTCCAAATGACTGTATTCCCCAACTCTCAGATAAATCTACTCTAAAATCCATTCTTATCTCCTCCCATAGTCAGGATTTTGTTGTGAGATCCAGAATAATGTCAGCTTTCTAAGTGATAAAATCTATTTAAAAAGAAATGAGTAAAGTCCATCTTCCAAGACAAATTCTTTTATTTAGGTAAGCATCAAATTGGCAAAGTCTGTTGTATTCCGGATCTGACATAAACCAGAATTACACTACATAATATTGGAAAGTAGAAACAGCCTCCAAAAGTCACATTCCCCAATAGTAGTAAATCAACGTTGCCTGGTGTCATCAATCTCCACCTCCAGGTCTCGGCAGGGACCCCTTCTGTTCCCATGGGAAGGAAAAGTCACTTAGCCAAACAATCCTCACTATCTAACCACTCCTCCTACCTTAGGAATGTGGGGAGCCCGAAACCCTCCCCCCTGTAACCAACAAAGAGAAAGAAAAGGAATATAAGATTAAGATATAGGGCTAAATAAAATTTCGGGCTTGACAACATGACCATCCCAAACCCAGGAAAATAGGTGATACAAATACAGATGGTCCTCAACTTATGACCAGAATTATTCCCCAAATTTCCATTGTTAAGTTGTTAAGTGAGTTTTGCCCCATTTTATGACCTTTCTTGCCACAGTTTTTAAGTGAAGCACTGCAATTATTAAGAGGGTTGTTGAGTGAATCTGGCTTCCCCATTGACTTTACTTGTCAGAAGATCTCAAGTGACACATGTGGGATACTGCAACCATCAAAAATACATGCCAGTCGCCAAGTTGCCAAGCATCTGAATTTTGTTCACATGAACGCTGCAGTGGTCATAAGCATGAAAAATAGTTGTCTTACTTTTTCAGTGCTGTTGTAACTTTGAATGGTCACTAAATACATGGTTTGTATGTCAAGGACTACCTGTAACCAGGCAATTTGACTCTGTTTGGATGGTTGTGTTTCAGCTTCAAGAGACCTGGTCTTTCATTCATGGAGGGGAGGGGCAAACTGCAGTATGTATTCCATATCTATAGGAAATAAAAACTTTTTGCAAATTTGGCTGTTAACTTTAGATCAAATGCAAATCATGAAGGATTTTAAAGGTGATAGCCAGCACCTTGTAATGAGTTACAGTGGTCAGACAGTATTTTCTTGAAAAAATAGAAGACAACCTGAAATACGGACAAATCTGAAAGAGGTGGATAATGATTTTAAAAAACCCTAATTGTTTGTGGCTATAATATTGGTTTACAAAGGAAAATTTGAGAGCAAAATCAAGAAAATTTAGGAAAACATATATTCTAATGAAAATATCTAAATTGAAAATGAGTAAATTTATTGTAAAAAGACAACGCAATTTTCATATATTTCACATATATTTGAAAGACTGTCCTAATGGCACTATTTATATGGTAAATAACCCAAAGTAAAGGACTAAAGAGAGTATCTGAAAAATAAATGTAAAGGATAGGTTTCTTATTAAAAGACTGTCCTTTATAATAAAAGATGCATGTGCACTGAATCGTAAAACCAGCTTATCTCTCAAAGCAGAGCATTGTTCCCTGTTGAGCGGAGAGGTTGGCTTCTTGGCTACCTTTCTGAGAAGCCCTAAAATACTCATTTCAAGACAGCTTTTCTTTTTGGTATTCTTGATGCTGATTTGAATGTCACTGGTCTTATCTCAGGGTTGATAACTTTTATTGTAGACCACCAAAAATAATGTAGAACTTAGCCACTTGTTGTTGATGAGGTCATTGTTCTCATAAAAATAAATTTAAATTATACTGTGTTTCTTCAAATATAGAAAAAGTGTTCAGCTTGTAATCAGACTGGGTTCAATTCATCTGACTACAGTCCCTGCTCATGGTGTTCAGGCACAGGAAAAAAGCGGTAAGCTTTCTTCAATCCAAACTTCATATCTATTCTTATAATAGTTTTTATTGTAAGTTTTTATTGGGTTGTCATACCTCATCTAGGTCCTTCAGAAAAGATAAGGGTGTATAGATATAGATAGATATGGGTATAGGGTATGAATATAGGTATAAGGGACAAGGTGGCTCAATGGCTAAGACGCTGAGCTTTTCGATCAGAAAAGTTGGCAGTTTGATGGTTCAAATTCCTAGCACTGCATCACAGAGTGAGCTCCCTTTACTCATCCCAGCTTCTGCCAGCCTACCAGTTCTAAAACATGTAAAAATGCAAGTAGAATAATAGGGACCACAGCATTCTGTGCACCTTCAGCGTTTAGATATGGCCATGGAGATGTCTTCGGACAGCGCCGGCTCTTCAGCTTTGTAATGGAGATGAGCACCACTCCCTAGAGCCAGAAACGACTAGCACATATGTGCAAGTGGAACCTTTACCTTTATCTATAGATATAGATATATATATATATAGAGAGAGAACAAATGAAAATATGCAACATCATCAAGAGAGTAAAAGAATTGAAACTGAAATGGAAATGGGCTGGTCATAGAGCAAGAACTGATAGTAGGTGGACCCAGGCAGTCATAAAATGGATCCCACTTGATGAAAAGCATCCACAAAAGAGACTTACTATAACAAGATGTGGTGATGACATCAGCAAGTATTGTGGACACAATTAGCAAAAGAAAGCTCAGGACCGTATTGCTTGGAAATATGTGGGAGAGGCCCTTATCCTGCAGTTGATAGATGATGACTATAAGGATGAGAATGAGATATAGATATATAGATATATATGATCTAACATTCAGGATTTCTCCTCATTCACTGTCCCCTTGAAAATAGATCACTTGCAGTAATATTCCTTCAGTGAAATGTGAATCTAATCAGTGGACTAGGAAGAATAGTATCTTTCTTTTCCTCCTTTAGTTCAGTGATGTTTGATTCTTAGAGATTGCCAGGGCAAATCCCTTCATGATTTTTGGCATGGTTTTTGAGAAGTGTCTTGCCATTGCCTCTTTCCTAGAATAGGCCCTGATCACAAGCAGATCAAATGGCCTTTGCACCTTTGCTGCTGTTGCTGTATTACTTTGGTTTGGGAAAATGGAATGATTATATCATTTTCTAGTAAAACTGATTCACAAGAGGGCTAACTTTCACCTGGGGAATTTGCTGGACCAATATGGCAGCTGCATGAGGAAATAGACAGCAGGAGTTGAAATCAAACCATCTGTAGGCATTTTTTTTAAAGGCTCATTTAAAAGCCACAGATGGAAAAAGCTTTAAATTTAGCAGAAAATATTTCTTTCTGATTCAGAAGTATAGATAATACAAAATTTTACAAACAGGATTGTATGAACCCAGCATATGTGCCATATTTATCAGGTTCTTTGGCAGCTATCTAAAATAGAAAGTGTTTCTTTCTTATTAAAGAATTATTTTTGATAAGATGATTGAAAAAAGTGATAGGGTTACAAGAATTTAAATAACTGAATTAAATCTCATTTACAACTCATAAGTCCTGATTAGAGATTTTCATTTTATTTCTAATAGAAAATAAGCTGAGTCTTTATATTTATAACAAAAAGGTATAATGTTCATAGTTTTGTTAGTAATGCTAAGCTTTAGTTATTTCTTATATTTTGCAGTATTTTTAAGTTATCTTCTGCATCTATCAGTATTTACCACACTTTATATTTTACATTGTATCTTTTCTCTTCTATATAGCCATATTATTTAATGATATTAGATGTTTGTGATAGTGATAGATAGAGAACAATACCTTTAATTTTGGCACTTTTATATTCTAAATTGATGTATTTACTGATGGCAAATTTAGTTTTGTATTGATCTAGACTACTCTGTAAGTGAAATAAAATTATGGTGATGATGAGAAAGTTGATAAATAATTTACTGTTTACCAAGAGAGGAAAACTTACAATATCATAGGGTCTAATTTAAACATTGATCTCTCTTTCACAGTTGCTTCAGTTGCCGTGGCAATGGGCGGCTCATGTGTTACCGTTGCGATTGGAAAGGCATATTGCTATATCATACTGAACTTTCAATCACATGGTAAGATATAAAGCAAAAAAAAAAATGTTGTCTCTTTGGTCATCTGGAGGAAAAAGTACATCTAAGAAGACCTATAAGGGCCATATGTCTCTTCTTTGTCCTAATAATATATTCCCCAGTATGACCAACCCCATCATGGATTCTTGGGTGCATAAGATTTTGGATTACACATATTTTGCCAGAGTGTAGAAGCAAAACTATTTCATAAGCTCTTATATATGTACTTTGTCCCTTCATCTAAGTGTTATTTATTTGAAAATTATTAAGATTAAATCACAAAGCTTCTGATCTCTGGGCTACACGGTGGGCATGATAAGTGTCTTCCAATAATTGTGGGGCTGTCATAGAGAAGAGGGGACTTACTTATTTTCCAAAGCAACTGAGGGCAGACAAGTAATGGATGAATGCCTGTTAATGAGAGATCCAAACTAGAAGTAAGGAAACATTTTCTGAACAATTAATCAGAGGAATAGTTTGCCTCCAGGAATTGTGGGTGCTTCATCACTGGAAGTTTTCAAAAATAGATTGGACAACCATGTGACTGGGATGATATAAGGTCTCCTACCTTAACCAGAGGGGTGGACTAGAAGACCTTTGAGGTCCCTTCCAGCCCTATGATTCTATGTTCTAATAAACCATTTTTTATTTAATACAGAGTACTTTGCACATGTAATTTGCTACTAGGAAAGATCCCAATTTATTAATGACTTGGAATAAGGCCAGGGGTGGGATTCTACCTGGTCAGACCTATTCTATAGAACTGGTTGTTATGATTCTGCACTGTTTGGAGAACTGGCAAATCACGCCACTGGCTGGCCCCTCCCCTCCTCATCCTGCCCACTCATTTCTTAACTGGCATGCACGCCATCCAACTTGTAACTCTGTAAGTTGCTATTTTAATTTTTTTTCCTGACCATCAGCTGTGCTGACTATTAGCTGTGCCAGGAGATTTAGATTAGCTAGAAAGCAGGAAATCATTGGATTTCTTGCTTTCTAGCTAATCTAAAAGCAGAGCTGAACCTTCCTTAGGGCTGAAGCTTCTATTTTTCAGTGCAGATTCAGGTAGCAGATTGCAGAATTATTGATCTCTGAGTGAATCTGTGATTCTGGGAACAACTCAATCTGCCTGCCTGCTTTGCCTGATTTTGGGTAAAAGTGCTCTTTTTATATAAAAATAATCAATATTTACATACATGGTGTGTTTTGAGTTAATTTTGTGAATTTGCTTGCTAACAAATTTTATGTGACAGACTCAGGCAGCAGATTGCAGAATGAATCTCTGAGAATGAATCTCTGAGTGAATCTGTGATTCTGGGAGCCACTCAATCTGCCTGCCTGCTTTGCCTGCTTTTGCTCTTTTTTTAATAAAAAAATCAATATTTACATCAATATTTACAATATTTACTAACAAGCCATGCCCAGCCAGTCAGATGACCACCAAGCCACACCCACAAATTAGGCCATGCCCACAGAACCAGTTGTTAAGAAATTTGAATCCCACTCCTGAGTAAGGCCACTTTAAAACAAATCAAATTATAATGTTAGGATTTCTGTTTAGTGTTCTTTTTGTAAAAAATATCTAAGATAGACTTTGTGGCTTAGTTCTATATGCTCTGATACTTTAGCATCCCTCCTTGAATATGCCTCAGTTGAATTTGGAATATCATTTTTTTCTACATTTACTGACTTTTAATCATTGGAAGAAAAATATATTTAGGTAGTTAACCAAATGTATCGTGGAATGGATTCAAAATGCAAGCTGAATATTTGTTTACTAAATATTATTTACCCAGACATAATCCCCTTGCCCCAATTTTAAATTAACTGAGATTTACTGCTAGTAATTGAATTAAGGGATTACAGCCCAAGAGTGCACTTCTGTCAGACACTTATCTGCAATATGTCTCTATAAAATCTTGAAGATATACATGAGATTAAAGTTGTATCTTATCTTGTCAAACTTAACATGTACTCAGTCAATTTCACCTTTACATTGACATCCTAATGAGCAAATATATTTTTTTATCCTTCGTAGGAAGAACAATATTTTAGAATACACAGCAGACAACAAATCTGAACTTCCAGTTCACCATCTGCAGGAAGTAACTGGAAGAAAAATACTTAGTGATGAATATAACTTGGTAAGATATATACTGCCACAAATATGTATGCAAAGATTAAAGGTGGTCCTTATCCAGCAACCACAATTGAGACTAGCAAGTCGGTTGTTAAGGAAAGTGATTGTTATTGTCAGGGTAGTGATTTAAGAACTGACCAGCTGCTTTGATGATGCAATGATGCACTGAGGTAATGATGGGAATGAATCAGCAAGATTTGGGGGGGGGGTTGTTATCTCTTTAAGAGCCTGTATAATAATAAGAGGCCCTGTTAGGGCATCTCTCTCTCTTGTCATGTGTTCTTCCCTGCTGTAATTTACTGAGTGTTTGACTTCTGCCTATAGTACGTGTATGCATAGTATATATTGTAGATAAAACCACTATTTCTTACAAACCTCTGCTTGCTGTTATTGCTCCTGGGTTCTTTCACATAGTAAAGCTGTGCACATTCTGACAATTATGTGAAACTGCAACAGTGCTTATGCTCTTATTTCAGTTTTCTTTTGCCTTAAAGACCTGCAAAGGTCATAAATGTGAGAATAGGTCCTAAAATTATTTTTCACCACTGTAATGTGAGGATTGGTTGTAAAGTGATTTTTTTTCACCATTCAACTGCAAAGAGTCACTCCAGGTGCTCACTAAACAGGGTAGTTGCTAAATGAAGACTAACTGTATTTATAAAAGAATGCTGGAAGTTAGACCACTCTAGAATGGTAGAACAGAGTGCTAGAGTGCTCTTATTGGTCATTCAATCCTTTGTTCAGCTCAAAAATCTATTAAAGCACCCCAAAAGGGATCGCTCTATCCCATTATAGAGTTTCCCCACACATATGTATAATAGCAAGTCCCCTAGCTCAGCATTCCCAACTCTGACTGGAGTAGACTCCAATGTTTCAGAATTTTTCTAGTCTGGTTGGAAGATGTTGACAATTACATCTGGAAACTTTTGCATGCTCCTGGCCAAAAGCATAGTTTAATTTTGCACACAATGATTTAGACCAGTGTTTCTCAACCTTGGCAGTTTTAAGCTGTATGGACTTCAACTGCCAGAATTCCTCAGCCAACATATGTAAAGGTGCCAAGATTAACAAACACTGATTTAGACTACTCATGTCCTCTGTACAAAAAGATAAGACAACCACAGCTACATTTTTAAAAATTTTTAGTGATGGATGTATGCTTTTTTGGTATACAATTCCAACCATTTATTGAGAGAAAGTTGACAGTTTTATGAAGTCACGTTGTACAGTAGGTCAGTCCAAAGTGCTAAATAATCTAACAAAAAAGAGTATTTTCTGGCCTTTATCTGCATACCAGGTACGTCCCATAATTGAGTTCCCAGAATCAACCATTAAAGACTATTCAAGGACAAGCATTGCTCAGCACAAAATGATGTTTGCTTCAGGTGAGCATCGAATCTTGAAACAGGTGAGTGCCAAAGAGAACAACTATTTTAAAAATGAAACATTATTTTCATTTTTATTCATTATTTTCATGTTCACTTTATTTAAAATCCTTCTTGACTTATTAAGCAGCTCTTTTGTTTTTCCTTCCAATCAGTTTGGAAAACATTTGTACGAGGGGATATTTCAAATTGATGAAGAATTTATCTTAGATTTATCTAAAAATTTATCTTAGATTACTCTGAGTTAGATTACTCTTCCTTTTCCTTTTGCAGGATATTTTGCAATCAGATTAATTTTTTTTTCATTTATCAAAGTGTAGTTTTCTTATCCTTTTTTGTTTTTAACTTCTGCAAAATAATAATAAAGCCAAATCTTACTTTAATAGACCATTAAGAAATAGAGTACTTTAGCCCCCAAATATCCATGTAATCTACCTTTATATTATCTATATCAATTTATGTCGGTTTATATCACTTGCATAATGTACTGATGCAATGACACAAATTACTGCAAATTACATAAATAACAGCATTTGTTTACTTAATAATAAGACACATATAATGGAAAGTGATGGAAATAATGCGGGCTTAGTGAACTATTCAGTTTACTTCATATACAGTGTGTTTTGTCTTTATTTCAGGAGATGTCTGGATGCAAATTTTGTCCATTATATCTAAAATCTGGTAACTCTAACCTTGATCCTTTATAAAAAGATTTCCTTGTCCACCAATAAATAAATCAGTAAAAAGAAAAATAAATAATGTATCATCACCAATATTTTATTCAGAAGGCTTAAAAGCCAAACTAACTTTTGAGGCAAAAGGCTTCCTCTTTAAAAACAAAAACAAAAAATAAAACTTATTTCCATAAAACTTTGATGGGGAATTGGGAGACTTCATCTTTTTCTCATGGCACAGTTGGTCTTAGATAACACAGAAATAATATTTAGTTATTATTTAAGCTCTTTGCTTTAAGTGTAAAGGACACACTTTTAATAGTGCTAAACATCAAGAAATTATTCCTCCAATAAAAGAGAGTAGCTCAGAATTGATATGAGGGGTCCTTGGTGCTCTATGAGCTTGGTTGTTTTCTAGCAAATGCTTGATTACCCAAACTAGATAACATCATTAATGTATCATTGATTTTTATTTTAAATATATTTAAAAGTCACAATCTACAAGTTGGCTTGAATTTTTTTGTGAAAGTTGTTTTCACCTGAAAATATCCCAAAATGTAAATTTTCAAATGTTCTTTGAATTCTTCGGGTCACAGTTTCTAGTGGTATGACCTAAAGATTGTTAAAAAAGGTAAAATAATAGCATACTATTTTTCCTAAGTAATGTCACATTAATTTCTCAATTGTTTTTATACTATACAGACATTTGATATAAACACATTTCCTCACCTCCCCCCCCAAATAGGCACGCTTGTTCCAATATTTTTGGCAGAGTTAATATACATACTTGTGAATCATGTATGGAAATTTGTTGTTCTTTCTTATTTTTGCCTTTATTAAACAACAAGCAAAAAGGAAAGGAGGGAACAATGAGAATTAAAAAACAAAAGAAACTAGAGTGTTCCACCAGCATGTTTTTCTGAGATAATATTTCAAGTGATGTATGTTGCAAAGATTACAAACTGACAATGATTCTAAATTTATAATACTTGCATCCATGAATAGTAAAAGAGCTGCCTGGTTAGGGAACTGACACAACTGATTTCCATCACATGGAAGCAAAATTGGAGGTTGTAGAAATATTCTCTGTCTAGGAATTAGGGATTGTATTCTACCACCCTTCTTTCCACAGGCTTACAAAAGGTTCCCTTGTAATGTGGGAATGATTTCAGCCTGCATTATTTATTGAAAATATTTATATAATTGCCCATCTTATATCAAACTCTGGGTGGCTCCCCATCAACAGTTAAACCAATATCTGTAATAAAACAAAATATCTATGAAACCCATAACCATTGAAAACTGGCATCAAGCTTCCAGATGTGAAGAAGTGGATGGTCAAGGTAGGAAGGGGCCTTGCTGAGATACTTTTTGAAGAACCCCTGAGGAGAACCTTGAGGTTTTCTATTCCATTTTCCATCTTAAAAAAATAAAAACCAAAAACCAAAAAAAAAAAACCCTGGGCTACAAATGGCTTGTTTGTAAGGATTGGCCTCCTCTTCCTTTTCTGTCAGGTTCCCAAAACAAAGAAAGCCACATTGTGAGTCTTCTACACAGATTTGTTTATTATTCCTCACCTATAGACAGATATCTTGCCAAACAAAGCAGGCTACTTGTACCATCGAACATGTCCTGGGAACTATTAGGCAGGAACCATCTTCACCCTCTTTCTTTCACACAAGCTATCTAAACAGCATTGTCTTTTGCTCCTCTGGAATGCACTCCTTTCGCCTGGACAACATTTCATCACACATTTCCACCCTCAATTTTGAGAGTGGAATCTCAGTAGATCTGGGTCTTGGGATAGTGCAATGGCATAAAAATGATGCTGGGATTAACACAGAGCTTGCAAATCATTAGTTCCCTTCCTCTTCTTCCTCCAGCTAGTTATAGGAGGCTAAGGGAATGAAATGGCCTATACCTCACCATGCATATCAGATTCCAATTGTTTTGTGTGTGTTTCCTAAGGAAAAGGAAATATGCAGAGCAGAGCACTCATAAACTGGGCTCATACTTTACTGCTTTTTTATTTCAAGGTATTCTAAACAAGCAATGTCCTCTCAAGTTGATGTTCCAAAGAAAACAAGATGAGTTACAGACAGGTGTCATATGTGCATCAGAATACCATATTGATTGTTTTGACAAAAATAGTCTGCAAACATAAACTCCTTTGATTTTCTCTTAAGAGGAACATTAAAGAGACTCACCTAAATGCCTGTACTGAATGGAAAAAGTATAAGCACTTGGAAAGGAATTCCATAACTTTTAAGCCCCTGTTGGGAAGGGCCTGCCTTTTGCATATCAACCTTAGACAGTCTTAATTGCCAATCTTAAATCTAGTACCTAAATTGTAAAGTTCACATTTGAAGAGGATATAAATGATCTCAGAAATATATAACTCTTTTCTCTTTCTTTTTGCAGAGACAAACGGTTGAGCTGGTGCCACTCACAAAAGTTAAATATGAATGGAAAGGCAAACTTTACTCCTTTTATGTCTTTGGCAATGAGAATAAAGTCTACAGCAAAGACTACCCTGCAAAATGCTGCTGCTCAATCTTGTGAAAAAGAACCAGTTTAGTGGCAGTCCCTTATCAAACTACATAGCTGTTCCCTGCTTTTAATCTCTACAGCATCTCTCTGGATTATTTTTGTGCAGGGACTATGCAGAAAAGGATGTTACTATTTGCTCCATCCAGAGGAATCTCTACATTGTTTTCTCTGTTCAGAAGAATGTGTGGCTAATCCATTAATCAGATGAAAAGTGAAGGAAACTACTAAGTCTAATGTACCTTGAAATAGCATATTTGTATATTTTGCAGTTCAAATATTTAGATACTTTTCATGAGCCCCATTCAGTTGTTTTTCTACCCAGGACGTTCACTGGAGAAGTTGTGTATTCCAATGATGGCTGCTTATCAGTGTTGTGTGTAGGAGGCAAGCTTTACCACTAATAGCTATATAGGCAAACTTCTACATCAGTCAGCATGGTGAGGTCTGCATCTCAGAAATCAATGCATACCATAATATGTACTGTATATCTTTAAAAAAATAGGGCAATTGAATGTTATATTAGCCTTTCCTAATCTGGTCCCTCCAGGGACTGGAGGACTGTACTTCTATACTCTGCAGACTGTATGGCCTTTCCTTTCCCCTCTTTCCAATTGTATTGTAAATTTAAAATCTGAAGTTGATAATCCCTGTATTTTATTAAATGTTCTACTTTTTCAAGATCCCGACTTACCATAAAAAGTCTGCAAAGCTAAGTCGTGCTTAAGGAATTATTTTCTTACGACAGTGCTTTCAGTGTGCAATCATGTCAAAAATCTTCTCTGTATGTTTTCTCTGTTTAAGGCAAAATAGTATTTCAGTCGCAGTACTCTAAAACTAAACAAACTATAAATCACAAAAACCTCTCTATGTCAACAGCAGCTCAGTGAAGAGCTGTGATTTATATCAGAACATTTATTATGGTAAAGCAAACATTTGCCGCTTTTTATTTGTTAGCTCCCATTTATCCCATGAATAAAGTTTTCAGCACTGTTTTGATAAAGTGTGGCATCTTGTTTCTTACTTTTAAAAAATATTATTTGTCTGGTTATTTTTATTTATGCTTTATTATTTTATGGTGCAATAATAGTGTTTTTCCCAAATGTTGCTCCTTTTCAAAAGTAGATAAATAAAAGACAATGTTATCAGAAAGTAACAGGCTGCTTTGTTTTGTTCTATTTATGTTAGAACAAGTTTAAGGATGTGAGCTTAATTGCCTAATCAGGTTTTCAAATGAGAAAAAAAAAACTATGATGACGGTATTAATTCCAGAAAATCATTTGCAGATGGTACCACTTTAAAAAGTATTTTGTGAGTGAGATGAGTGGTGTCCAAATTTGATACAGAAATAATTCAATAAAATAAATACACTCTTTAAATATCCAGCACATTGTAGTGTTTAAAAGTACTTGGGGAAACTCTGGTTTAAGTCTTCATTCTACCATTAAGCTCACTGGATATATTTATCTCAATGTTTAATTTGGTGTACATAGCCTCCTCCCACTCCCCAGTTTAAAATATTCTTTATTCTTAATATTAAAAAAGACAGAATATTTTCCTAAAGGAGAAATGGAGAAAAATCTTTAAAAAGGTAGAAACAGTCTTCCTGCTATAGGAAGCAGCATCCAGCAGATGCCCAAAGTCTTTAGAGATGAATATTTTGTGCCCATTAAGAAATCCAGGCCATCCTATTGATAAACAAGACACCCTCAGCCCAGCTTCCCCAGAAGGGATTAAAAGTAGAAAAAGAAAGATTCCTAAAATCTACATTCCCCACCCAAATTCTAAGGACAGGATATCACCTTTAGGACATAATAGGATTAAGTCACCACCATCAGAACAGCAAAAGGCAGAAGGCTCACTACATTGTACAACCCCCAATGTAGTGCATCTCAAACACAAAACCCCAGAAACTTATAAAAATTCATCCACTCACTCAGCCATTTTAGCAGCTACCCCAGAAACCTTGCTGCTGTCACTGAAATTTCTGGAAATTGAATAAACCTTCACTTGCAGTTAATCCACCTCCATTTTATTTCCAGCGCCTTTCTCTCGGCTTGGAACTGGACCGGATTTTAATTCCTACATTGGTCACTGGATAATGCTGTTGTAGAACTAATGCTCATGTAATTTGTATTCACATACACAGTAAGTTTTAAAAAAGAGACAAAAAATAGATCAAGCCAAGTATTTCATAAGGAATGTGGAACCTCTGTGTAAATGTTTCTATCAGATACATTGCAAAATTTTGGGAAGATGATGGTGATAGCAAGGGATAATATTTGATCAGTTGTGGGGTTTTTTTGTTTCATGTAATATGTAGCCATATATTTTTCAGATATTTTGTAATTTCCCCCCTACTTAACAAGTACAGGTAGTTCTCAATTTATAACCATTTGTTTAGCAATTATTTGAAGTTACAACAGCACTGAAAAAAGCAACTTATAATTATTTTTGTCCTGCTTATAACCATTGCAGTATCCCCACTCTCGTGTATTTTCAATGTTTGCAGCATCCTGGAATCATGTGGTCATCACGTGTGTTCTTCCCTGCTTGCTTCAGACAAGTAAAGTCAATGGGGGAAGCCAGATTCATTTAACAACCATGTCATTCACTGAACTGCTGTGATTCACTTAACAATGGTGGCAAAAAAAGCTTGTAAATTGGATACAACTCACTACATTTGCCTTGATTAGCAAAAGAAATTCTGGCCTCAATATTGGTCATAAGTCAAGGATTACTTGCATGTGGCAATTATTGCTACTTCTTTTCGTAGTAAGCAACATACAGTGAAATAATATTTCATGGCATCTGTAGTTTTTTAATGGTATCTGACAGTCATGTATATTTGATGGTAATGTGGGAAATTCAAATGTATTATTTATGTTAAAGCATTTATATTCCTCCTTTCATGTCAAGTTTTCACAATTGCAATAATCTATTACAATTTCTCATAAGTAACATGAAATAACAATTTGTGGCACTTGCCCGACATTTACAAGTAACATTTTAACAGCATTTGAGACACAATAATAAAATGTAGATAATTTGACAAAGAAGGCATAAATAACGAGCAGAATTGGAGACGTTAGGGTTTTTTAGTTTTTGAAAGAGGCAAATTCATCATAAGAATTATATAGTTTTGCTCCATTTTCCAATATTTCTTGTCACATTGTTAAGTGAATCACTGCAGTTAAATTAGTAACATGGTTGTTAGGTAAATATGATTTCCCAATAACTTTGTTTGTCCGAAGGTTGCATAAGGAGATCAGATAACTCTGGGACACTTCATAACTGTCATAAATGTGAATCAGTTGTCAAAAGCATCTGAAGTGTGAAAAATGGTCATAGGTCACTTTTTTCAGTGCCATTATAACTTCAAATGGTCACTTAGCAAACTGTTGTAATTCGAAGACTATTTGGAAGAATGAAGAAATACCATTTGTTGTGGATTATTATTTTGATGGTTCATCTAATATATTATTTTGATTGGATGGTTCATCTAATAGATAACACTAAACTGTGTTTATAATTCTATGTACTTATTATAATGGTGTAAAGATTAAATTGGGAATTTTAGTTTGGAGATTTGCTAAATGTTATTCAAAGGAATCTTGGAACTTTAGTATCACTTTAACGAACTACTTTTGTTCATTTGAAAAATATGTTAATAAAAATGAAGTGATGAATTCACTTATTTAGATGCTTGGAATAATTGATCTAAATCAAACTTTTCAAACTGTTTGAATCTGAGCAATATTTCAGATCAGAATAATTTGATGTTGCAAGTGTAATTTGATTGAGAGTGGTTAGGGTAGTAGTTAAAAAACATGTAGCTCTTCTACAGTGTTAAATAGGTTTTTTTTTTTCCAAAAGCGAGTTTAATAAATATTTTAACGATCTCTAAAAGGGTATTAAAAGAATACCACCAAATACAAATTCATTTGTAAATAACTGCAAAAGGGAACTGCAAATCAGTAGTAGGTATGGAGCAGCAGCATTAACTTTCAAAAACATGCAAAGAAAAAAGATAGATAATTAAATACTAGCAAGATTACCTGGCCTTGCTATAAAACTTGCCTTACTTAATGGATGTCCCCTGTTTGCTATCTTTTTAATTACTTTATTCCTTTCAGAAATCTTAGACACTAACATTTTCTTGACAATTGATGGCAACATGCATGTTCATTGTTCCACCATATACTCAGTAAAGGAGTTGTATAGTTGCAAGTTGTTTTTTTAAGTAGTATTAAGTAGGGGAAAAAAAGATGTGTGCTTTTTCTTTAGTCATCTGAAACTTCCAGCTTCACATTTGGGAGATCCCCTTTTATTTTTGTTTTGGGAAATTTTATAACAGGAAATAGGTAATTTAGCTGTCTAGAGGCTTAACACATTCCTTTGCATCTTTAAGGAGAAATGAAAAATTATGCTGTCAAAGACAACAACTGGGATTTGAAGAGTTGGCAGGGCTTCATTCTCTCTGTAGATGACTGACCTCTGGTAGTAGGTTTGCCAGGTGTTTTCCAATGGCCAGTCTTTCCAGCTTTGTTTGGTCTTTTTCTAATTATGTAATTTTTAATTTTTCTAATTAAGTTCCCGACATCCAGTGCCCTGATGAGGACATGAAAGGAGCCCCAATGGGCATCCCCTAAGCAATGATGATATTAGTGGCTAATCCTTTCAACCTGGAAGTGCTTTAAATCAGGGGTGTCAAACTCGTGATGCCACATTGCCATCATGTGATGTATTGCAACTTCCCCCCTTTACTAAACCAGGAGTGGGTGTGGCCAGTGTGCAATGCACCCAGCCCATGGACTGTGAGTTTTACACTCCTCCCTTGAATGGTGCCTCCAACATAAACATGCTGAATCCATTAATTTGAGTCTGAATGACAAGTTTAAAAACATTACCTTGACTGAGATGAAATAAACCAATCAACCAATCAATGCAACTGTTCGATATTTGCTAAGGTTTATTTCATCTCCTTAGTGGATGGATTGACTTTGATTGCACAATGCCCTTTATAATGTTCCTTGAAAAAGTAGCACTTGAACTTATGTTTCTGGTGATTTTCCATTGCCACAGTATTAAAAGGGATTCAATGAATGATGTGCAAATCGTGTGAATGCATAATTCCAAAGTCTGCTAATTTTTCATAATGTTTTCTTCCCCACAGATATCAATCACAGCCCTGGTAGCAGGGTACCTACAAAAAAGATAAACAGTAAGATGAAACATGGTGTCAAATTGTCCCCCTAAGAGTACAGTATAAGTCATACATATTAATGATGACAAATAATAAAGGGTGCATTAATGAAAGCATTACTGCTAGGAGCACCAGATGCTATTATTTACTGAAGTGCTGTTGAGATGCAGGAAGCCACTCTGATTATTCAGATGCAATTTCAACATGAGAAACTGCAGCAAACCTGGCAATGAAATTACAGCTATTGACAAAGTTAAGGTTATAATTTCCCTTCATTTTGCACATTTTGGCAGTTTGAACAATTTACTGACTCTTATAATAATAAACTTATTTCTTAATTTTTATCAGATGAATCTGGCCTTCTAAAAGACAAAACAACAAAAAACAATAACACCAATACATAATTAGATTTACTTAGATTTCCTTTTGTCTTCTCTCCTCTTCTCTCTCTGTAATTAAACTCTGTTTTCTCCTATATTTAACTGTTTTTCCTTTGCCTTGCATAAAATTGATTATCCCAAAACAGGAGAATATGATGGGGTATACATTGATACATAATGCAATCACTGATAATTGATTACAAAATTCTAAGCTAGGAGTAAAAATAGCAAATGACTTTTTTTTTGAGAAAATTCAGATGTACAGACTGGATAATAAACATACATTTTCCCCATCTTAACTTTACAATGGCAAGCATAGTAAAACTGCAATGCAACCAGGAATGTTCATATGGCAGACACTACTCATATCACTCAGAAGGGATTTTTACACAGAAGCTTCACTTTTTTC